ATTGTTTGGAAACTGCAGATCCTAATTAGTGTCTCAGCCTTGTAGTGAAACTGCATGCAGCATTTTTCTGAAAAAAAAGATGCTCTAAGCATCCTCTTTTGAGGAATACTGGGTTGTATTCATGAAAGGCGCAGCACACATGGAGCTCAGTGCAGATATGGATGCTTTACCACCTCTGATCTGTTCCCTTGGTGGAGGCTTCTTACGTTCCCACATTATATGGCTCCTTTTAGTGCCAATTGGGATTGAAAATTTAACACGGGCTAAAACATAGGTTAAAAATTGGGCTGTGCCATCCACATGTAACCTGTGCAGTCTGCACACTCAGTATCAGTAACTTTGACTTCAGAGAAATTTGGATAAGCATAAGATAGTCCAGATCTTTTTATGCTGTTTGTTAAAATTACAGTAGTTTAAGTCCAAGGTGACTTTTATTCTAAGATAACCCTTTACATTTTCAGTATCATCTTATGAAACATTTTACCTGATTCATTTTAGAAGTTAATTACAATTTAAATCACCAACATATGGCTGAAATTTTCAATGTCATGGAGTAATGGTATCCCCTTTAATTCCTCCAGTGGACACCAAACGCTCCACGTGCTTGGTGTAAACACCATTTACACAGACTGCAGCATGCAGAGATTAGCAATATGTCCATTAGCAGCACGGTTAGATGATCACTATCTATTCCAAGACAAACATTTTTCCTTTTTCCTCCTGGTTTTTTTTGTTATATCCCAATATTTTTTCTTCCCAAACACTTAAACCAAAACTTACCACTATCATGTTTTCTCTTTTCTGAGGAAGAGCATCACCATGAAGGATGCCGAGCCTTCTGAAGTAACAGAAGTATGAGACTCTCCTAGTCTGCCATATTATTTCGAGTCTTAAAGAGATACGAGAACAAAGCCTGTTCAATGATATATAAAGGTCTTAATCAAATGTCTGAATAAAACCCTGAAGCGGTTATATCAAAGCATCAGTCATGTGTTTTCCAAAATAGAACCAGAGCAGGAATATGCACCATCTTCCGGCAATTTAAACAGATTTTAAGTGAGCTGCTGGCTGCTATACTTAGCGCGAGATCATATCAGAAAGCAAAGTATTTTGCAGAGTTTAATTGTGGTTATTTCTGGGAATGACATGGTCAGGTTCTGAAATACACGTTGAGTTTGTAGTGGTTGGAGTACCCAGCACTTCCTAAGGAGCAACAGTCCACATAGGCTGTTAAACTCCAGTGGTAGAGTCAAGAATAAATACAGTAAAGAGGGAATATCCACTTCGGGTTTTCACTAATGGGTTTAGCTACTTCTATTTGCTTTTCCACTAAACAAATCAGTACAGGCTGGTTTGTTGGTTTTGGTTTGGTTTTTGGGGGTTTTTGGGGTTTTTTTTAACCCACTGGTTGTCTGAACAGTCTCGTTAGCCTCACCCATCTCGCAGTAAACTCAAAGTGGGCCAAATGCAGTCTAATATACCCTAGATTTGCAGTCTAAGGGGTGGAAAGCAAAGGTCATTTGGATTCAGACCCTTTTGCTTGGGTGTATGAGGGTGGTTCAACCACGTGCTTTGCTGTTAGCTCTTGCATAGGACACCTGCTCCACTCTCCAGGGAATATTTGGCAGGGCTAGGTTTAAGCATTGCAGGTTAATATCCCTTGGTGAGTATGTTCAGCAGAGAAAATGCAGATTCAACCTAGGGGGACCAGTTTCCTCTGCTTCGATTTCCCTGCTGTAAGTGCTCCTCTTGGTCCTTGGGCTGGCTGCACCGTGTCTCTATGTCCTTAGCACCTTGTCCCAAACTCTTAACTTGACTTCTCTCCCCAAGACTTTGCCTCCTCAATAGAACTCAGCTCCCCACTCATACACCCCTTTCACCATCCCAACAGTTCCATGCCTCCATCCCCATGTGCATTTCCACCCCAGTCTCCTCCCCTTGCAAACATCTGCCTCCCTGTCTTTCTGTCATAACTAAAACAACCCCTCGCAGCTTGGTTTCCACTTTCTGCTCTTCTTTCTTCCTGTGACCAGTGAGCCAATAAGAAAATTTTCTTGCTCTCCAAGTTTACAAATACCTGCTTTTTCCTCAGTCGGATTGTGCCCAGGGTGGACCAAATATTCAGTGGATTTGGGTACCAAATTCTAAGGCATCTCTACTGAGTACTATATGCAGTACCATAGTGGTTTTATTTTCAGAATGTTATCAGTTGGCCGGCTATAGATTACCCTGGGGATAACAGAAGGCACCTGCTTGACACAAATGATATCTGCCAGATTTCAGTTTGCAAAGCCAAATGATGAGAGGGCATGAGGCAAATCTGAAGAGACAGTCACCAGAGATCTTTCACAAGGGAAAAATAAGATATGTTTCCCTAGCCTGTTCTTCAAAAACACCTGAACAGTCTTGGTTGACATTTCCCAAAAGCAGACATCAAAGGCAGACATTGCACATGCAGTATTTTAGTCCAAAGACTTAAAAGACCAACAAAGTTATAAGCAGCAGACTCCATCCTACCATGGATCGGCACAAGGCAATCTTAAAAATAGGCAGTGCAACCAGCTTACCTGGGTGATAAGTGAACCACTAACAAGGCAGGAGTTTGTGAAATATGAACTTGCAACCCATGACATTCCTGTAGGGCAAGGGCATTTTCATCTCCCAGAACAGCAGCAAATGGAATTCCTGTTATGACTACCACAACTGTGCTGAGCCCAAGGAACATGCCACGGGGTAGGGATATGCTAACGTTGTTTGCACAGTAATTTGGCTCACTCTCTTAGGTGTTCTGTAACACAGATAGGTCTTGAGCCTTGCCTA